TTCTTCGTCATTTGGTCAACATCAACTTACACTTACATTCAGGTAACTTCATCTATACTTACAAGAGGTGTTGAAAGTGTTTGTAAATATTAAATGAACTCGAGACGTGTTTTCAAAGGAGGAAACTTTAGGTAAACTGGTCTCTACACAGCAGCCACACCTGTACTTATATTAATAGTGTCATATAGGTGTATTAGTGATCACTATTCTAAATTAGCAGAATTTAAGGATAAGTACGTCTCAAATTATTAGGAGTTTTTTCGATATTTTAGAATAGGAAGTAAAGTACATTTTCTCACATTAGTAACCAGATGCACAAGAATATTATGTTCTCAGTACGGTACATGTACTGTAATTCTAAGGTAAGGTAACAATAAGGTTAAAATAGGGGTAATGGTGGAGGGGTAAATTTATAGTAGTTCACACAACTCTGTTAGAAAGTCAAAACTATGTTTTGACAACCGCCAACCGTTTTCCGACAAAAATCACGGCCAAGTGAATACAAAACACACCAAAAAACATTAGTAAAACATATAAACCTAACTTTTTTTGGATGACCTAACCTAACCTGACCTGACCTAACCTAACCTATCCTAACCTATCCTAACCTGACCTAACCTAACCTATCCTAACCTATCCTAACCTAACCCGACCTAATCTAACCTGTGGGCAAAAAATGCTGCAAATTCTAAAAGCAGAAACCACAATTTATTTTAATTGGTGGCAAAAAAAAGGCGTTTTTTATTGTCTGCTTGACGTGAACGGGAACGCATGCTTATGATGATTTATGAAGGGAAGGTTAATGGAATTAATTAGAGAAAGATTTGGCATGCGCTATGTTATTATATGTTTCCGACGGTAATGTAATTGAAGAAAAACATCTTAAAATTAGACGTATTTTATAATATGATAATAGAATTAAGGTAGGAATGTTGTGTGAAGTACAATAAAAATACCAGTGGAGGAGACGGTAAATGAACTGAAGTTCTCTGGCCATTGTGAGAAGGTGAATCAGTACTGTAATGTATGAGATCACCGCTACCACCAGAAGGAGTTGTTAATTTCATTAATTATTTCCACAGATGTTCTTATCATTTCTTCACAATTTTAAAAGTGGCAACATTAACTAAAACCTAATAGAACCTGACCTAACCAACCCAAGAAGCCTAACCTTACCTAACTTCAGACCCCCCCCCTTGGACCCCTGTCATACTAAGGACAAAAGGTTAATATTTGTCCATTGGCTGTCCGCAGGTTTCCACCATGTTTACCTGAGGTTATACTCCTCACTTAAGAGTCCGTTGTCTCCCCCTTACCTCCTCCTCCTTGTTGGTTAGGTAGGTTGGTTGGTTCCTTTGGTTTGAGAATAGGTTTTTTGTGGGTATTTTTGGTGTGTTTTACTCAAATTTTACCTCCATTTTTGTGCAGATTAAAATTTTTTTGTTTAAATGAAAATGTTAAATTTTTGCTAAAACTGCTAATTTGCAAAAGAAATGAATCAGTTTTGAGTAAAACACCAAAATTACACACACAAAAATTTTCTCATACCAAAACCTGAGGACAGCCAATGGATGAATATTTACGGGAGAATGTTCTAATACCTCGATTAACGAACGGTCCAATTAACAAAATTTCGGTTAACGAATTAGCTCCCATAAGGATTTTCAGTTCCATTAACGAACAAAACTTTGATTAACGACAGCCTTACGAGAAACACGCTTTGTTGTGCGCATCAGCTGATCATCTGATCGGCTAGTCCGCTGAACCGGTTGGTTAACTCCCAATTAACCAGGTTGGTTCACATATATTATATTGGGCTTTAGTAACGAAACCCAATTGAAGTTTCTTGTTTTATTAGAAAAGTATGTTCATATAATTCCTGAGTGTAGGTCAACCGTAAGTTCCACTATTTATGAGTGTGATGAGAAAGGACGGCGTTTATGTATATAAACGTGAACCAACGTCCGTTTGATATTAGTTGGTGTGAGTGACTGCCTGAAGGCGTCGCCTTCGTGCGCGCTTACATAGATGCTGACATATGGGCTTCTCCCTCTTGGTAAAGCTATTGTTCACGTGTTCAGTTCATGTCCTCACAGATAATGGAAAATTACAGGGGATGAATCTGAATATAAATCAGATGTAAATAACCCATTTATATAATACTTCTGTTGATGAGACAGGGGCCATTACATCGCTCGGTCACCACCGGCCAAGCTCCGTGAGGCTTAAATAAGCTCACAGAGTACAGTACATCCTATACAACCCAAACCATGTTATAAACATAGGTGTAAACACTAAGCTGGGGATTCTACTACTGTAGGGGTTTTATCTACTACAGGGGTCCTATACTTTAGTGCCTTTTGGGTTAAAATGTTATGAACAATTTTCATCTTGGATGACACTGACTTATAATAACAGAAAAAAAAAACATGACTTCAAACACAAACATTACTGCCAATATCAAAAGCAACATGGCAGAAATAATCTTCGCCTACTTCTTGTTTAAGAACGCATCTTCTTAGCAATGTACAACTTTTGCTACTGTAATCACGCTAGATGAATGAGTGTGTGGTGCTTAAGACTTTCAACGAAACATTAATTTTTGCGGAGAGCAATGGTACTGAGTTGTGAAGGGTTCAACACGGCATGGCTGAAAATTTACAGTCTGTGATACTTTTGTAGAACTAACATATTTTTATTTTAAGAAGTTGTGTCTTTGACATCGTTAAAATATGTAGTTTGAAAATTATGAACATTCTTATCCTCCCTGGGACCAAAAGAAAATGTCCACATTTTCTGTGTCTAACAATTACTGGGAATTATTTCACTTCAGTATACTGTATATTAAAATAAGTAAGCACTTACAACAATGACAATAACTTATCGATGTCCTATCAATGTGGAGTTATGTCTCGAACATGTAAATGTGTGTATATATTTAATGTATACCTAGATACTACCTATTTCTTGTAGGCTTGATTGAAGAATCCTTTCTAGAATTTCTTGAAAATGTGAAATTGTTGCCGCAATCCCGTAGACTTGTGTGCGTCACTCACAGTAGTCACAGCTGATTCCAAGGTCCGGTGACTGGGACAATGTTCACGAAAATCATGAGTACAGCAAACTACCGCTCCTGGTTACACTAGGTCATCCACCACACCATACCTCAGAATGCTGAGACCATCTCTCATGACCGGAGATTTGTCATCACTAGGGTGGGTGCTGGGGTGCTGGTAACTTGGGGTTAATCACGCCATACGAAAGATTTTTGCTGACAGGATGTTGATTGATGAGTAGTCACAACAACTGCAGTCACGTCCTGTCACACCCTGGGCAGTGAACGAATCATTTGCAGAAACTAATGTTCACTTCAGCTCACAGGATTGTTGCCATAATTCAGCAACTTTTAATAACTCAGTATTGGTTATGGACATAAACTCAACATGTAGCAGGAACTGCTTTGCCCTTATGCTAATCTGCCACTGATTATGATGTAGGGTAATGTACTCATAGTGTTGACAGTAAGATTTTATCATGAGTTGGAAGAGAAAATGATACAGGTTGACAACCCTTTATCCGAAATTCCGAAAACCGAAAGTTTTTTGGTGGAGCAAAACTTTTTTTTTTTAAGCAGGGATTTGCCCACCCGGGCACAGGTCACTGACCCACATCCGGGTCTGGGGGGCGAAAATATAATAATAATTATTCATATTAAATAAAATGTATACAGGTTGACAATCCCTTATCCGAAATCCTTGGGACCAGATGCATTTCGGTTTTTGGAATTTTTCGGTTTTCAGAATGGTTAGTTTTTTTTTTTTTTTTTTTTTTTTACTGGGATCAGCCCACCCGGGCACAGGTCACTGACCCACATTGGGGCCTGGGGGCTAAAATATAATAATAATAATAATATTAATAATAATAACAATAATAATTCATAGGTCTAGGTCGTGTTTCGCACTTTTGATCATTTTTTCATTCTTGTATTTCTTTATTATTATTATTATTATTATTTTATTATTACAGTATTATTGTTATTATTATTATTGTTATCATTCTTATTTTATTTTTGTGTATTTTTTATTTAAATTTTTATTTACTATGAATAATTATTATTATTACTGTATTATCATTATTATTATAATTATTATTACTATTACATTTTCACCCCCCCAGGCCCCGATGTGGGTCAGTGACCTATGCCCAGGTGGGCTAATACAAAAAAAAAAAAAAAAAATTGCTGCACAAAAAAACTCGGTTTTCAGAGCTTTTCGTTTTTGGAATTTCGGATAAAGGGTTGTCAGCCTGTAATAAAAAATACACAAAAATAAAATAATAATGATAATAATAATAATAATAAAATAATAATAATAATAAAATTAATAATAATAATAATAATAATAATAACAATAATACTGTAATAATAAAATAATAATAATAATAATAATCATCATCATAAGAATAATAAAGAAATACAGTACATACAAGAATGAAAAAAAGATCAAAAGTGAGAATTGACCTAGACCTATGAATTATTATTATTATTACTATTATTATAATTATTATAATTATTATTATATTTTAGCCCCCCAGGCCCCAATGTGGGTCAGTGACCTGTGCCCGGGTGGGCTGATCCCTGTTAAAAAAAAACTAACCTAACAATCCGAAATGCATCTGTTCCCAAGAATTTCGGATACGGGATTGTCAACCTGTAATACAGTAATGTGTTATTGCTGGCAAAGGCTGTATTGTGACTGGAGGGAAATGAAAACATTTCCCTTGGTGGTTATAATGTAACTGGGGATGGAAGTGTGTCAGAATGATGACAATTTGATAGTAACAGTATATTGTTGCCAACATGGGACTCGTGTGTGATTGGGGAGGGGAGCAATTGTCCCCCCCTAGTGTGATAGCAGTGATAGTGTGTCAGGATGGTGCTTATCTTAGCTCTCAATCAACTGATATACCTAAATGGGAGCCGTTGATATGGCCTTCCTCCAGTAGTGTGTGTTTATATGTGGGAGTTGGTTTGTCTGTCATTCTCATACTCTGCAACCTTAAAATTGTGCTGTACAGTATTGTCTTTAGTTTGCTTCTCTGACATTTTCTTAAAAATTAAATTGCAAAACTGGAAAGTAAAATGGCTTTGTGTCGGACTATGAAAGAAAGTTTATTGTTTATATTTTTTGTCTCACTGTGTCTATTATTCATCTTTGTAAACAAAGGTGAGTACTGTACTATTAAATTTGTCATATACTGTATAATCTAATGTATTTTCTGATTATGCTTATTTTGTTGTACAGTGAAGTATTTGTCAGCCAAAAAGTTTGAGACAGTCACTCAGCCAGTGACTGTACACTACTGTATTCTTAAATTTCATATATAGAATGCTCACTTCTTTTGTAAAATACCCAATAGTTTATTTTGTAAAGTAGATTTTCTGTTGAAAAATACTTTACTGTACAGTACTAAGGTTTAATAATCATAGTATTGTACAGTACAGGAATGGCAAGTATAAATTGTAGGAGACAAAATAGAAAACAAATTATATTCCTGTTTGATTATAATGTGTGTGACACTTTTAATTAACAAAGCCTACAGAGTACAGTACAGTATTGTTTGTCCCTTACAACTACGTATAACTGATAAAAACTGGAATCACTGATATTGGAAGGTATTGTTTTGAGTCATTTGTTTTCTTGAGGATCATCATATAAATTACATTGGATAAAAGTGAAATAATTGGAGCCTCATGTTAGATTTAAGTGATTACTGTCAGCCCTTGATATTGACGAGGGTTGCATTCTTGAAAAATCAAATTCAGGAACCCTTGGAACAGGAGGCGAGGTGAGCACTGTATACACTCAACAACCCCTCTTCAAGATAATAAGTAACAGGCTATAATCATCAACATTAAGATCAGGCTGTGCAGATTATGCTTCCCAGTTTTTAGACTTTTTATTACAAGTACGGTATTTTGAATATGAGAGAATGTATGACTTTATTTAACCTAATAGCACAGTAGATGCATAATGTGGCTGAATTGTCATGTCGAAGAAATGCACAGAATGATATTTTAAGAATAAAAAAAAACAGTCACTTGTGATATTTGCTTGTCAAAACCCAAGGAGGCATGATTCTGAAATCCTTAATTAATAGCTGAGTGAGTCACAAAACTTTAATCACAATTTTATGATGTGTACATACTTTGTGGGAAACAATATGAGACCATGGACAATAAATTTTGCTATATGAGAGCTATCACTCATCACACGTAATATTTTGGAACATATCGACCCCCACCTGCTCAGATAGTTGTTTTAGCTACTGTACATTTGTATGCTTTAATTTCAGCTTCAGATATTTAACAATGTTTATGAATAAGAAAAAAGCATTAATTATTTCATGCTTCATGCAGTATGTTATGATTAATGATTCTCATTGCTGTTTCAAGAGACATAATTAACACAGCATATTTTATCTTTCAGGAGAAATCATTGTACCAGAAATTATGACCAGCACACAAGCACCATTTAGTGGTGAAGTGACTCCGTATGGCCATGAACTCTATATTGGCCTTGGACTCTCCATGTCTTCATCTGTCTTCATAGGAAGCAGCTTCATCTTAAAGAAAAAGTCATTATTGGCCTTGGGGAAGTCTGGTGGTACTAGAGCAGGTGCTGGAGGATATGGGTATCTCAGACACTGGCTCTGGTGGGCTGGACTTCTCTCTATGGGATTTGGAGAGGCACTCAATTTTATAGCATATGCATTTGCTCCAGCAACTCTGGTCACACCCCTCGGAGCTCTGTCTGTGATTGTGACAGCTCTCTTGTCCCAGTACTTCTTAGGAGAAATTCTAAATGTGCTTGGAAAAGTAAGTACCAGTATTGTATACAGTACTATATTGCCATTTACCATAGTTACCATAAGTACCAGTATTGTATTTTGTTATTTACCATAATTGTACTGTGTGGCGACCTGTGGTGTAATGGTCAGTATGCTTGCCTCGCAAGAGAGTGGACCTGGGTTTGATCCTCAGCTAGGGTGAAACTATGGGGAAGTTTCTTTACACCATTTACCTCTGTCTACCTAGCAGTAATTAGGAACCAGGATGTTAATCGATTTGCGGACCGTGTTTCAGGGTAATGGTTTAGCCAGTGCAGTTGGTGAGTTGTCCGCTCTTCTCGAACTATAGGATTCCTTGACACTGGGTTATGCAACTCTGTTGTGTTGGTGACAGCTTCTACACCTTAAACAAATTCACACCTAGGTGGCCCTTGGACCGGCCATCCATGTACACGAGGGGCAACCATTATATATACTTGTACAGTACAGTAGTTGTATACTGTATTATGAAAATTAATTGTGTTTTATTAAATTGCTTTGATACTACAGGTATTTCATCTCACAAAAGTTTTGTTAATGAGCAGTGAGTGTAAATTCTAAAGGACAGTAAAATTTTGATAACCTTTTCTGAACATAAGTGAAAATTACTTATAAGGGCTTGTTTGTGAAGGGTACTGTATTTTTTCTCTGGGCAGTTGCCCTTTACTAGGAAACTCATGTATATGCACTCACTAAGCTGTTGAATCTGAACCCAAGAGACCTTTACATAAATTGGCTGGGGCTAATCCATTAAATAGGATTGTTTTCCATTGCAGCCATCACCCTTAAAGAGTAAAATTAAAGACAACACTTCCACTGAAAGCTTAGGAGATGTGATGTTGCTCTAGCTTGTAACTCACTTTGCCCTTAATTTATAGGTAGCAATTCCCATTTATTCTTAACTACACCATCATACTGAGCAGTTGTGTTCATGTTTTTAGATATATATTTTTTCTACTGTACCTGTTATTGCCCATAACATGAGACTTAATTTAGTTTGTTGACCTCCCTTTCCTTCTGTACAAGAAATTGTTTCCAATTTAGTTTTACCAGTTCCCAGGATAGTAATTACTGTATTGTACTCTGAGAATTTTTTTAATTTTCATCAGATGAGTACCCACTCACCCTCTTTAATGTTTTAGAAAAATCTTTTATTGGCATTCCTTATGAGAGTTTCATAGACCTTCTTTAAATGATGTGATAAACTTCAGAAAGCCTTGCTGACACCTTATCAGATTTTTAAAGCTGGGTTTATAATAGCACATTAAGGTGGAATGTTAGACATCCCTACAAAGGTAAATAATGCTCTTAGCCTCTTAAAGTTCAGTAAGGGAATTTTAGACTTCCAACCCAGTGAGTACAATGGGCCAACTCTCATGGGGATGTGTCGTTTTCTAATCCAGCTTTTGTATTATCTCTCCTCCCTTTTACTAAGCTGTCTTTAGCTTATGAGAGCAACTTGGGTAAAGATTGATATAGTCAGAAGTGGTGAATTCATCCTGAATTCCTTTTTTCTGGCAAGTCCCGAAGCCAGGCAATTTGGAATCTTCTCCTCTCCCTTTGGTTTGTGGTTAGTCAACTGGACATATGATAACTCGACTTGACATTAGCTAGAACCACACTTGCAATCAGTCAAGATGACCTCTGCTCGAACTGAACTTGCTATCAATCAATGTGACCTAGGTTTTGTTTTGTTTAGATTCACACAATTTTATAGATAACAGAAACATTGCTGCTGTGCTGAGTGCTGATTGGGCAGTCACAACTCAGAGAGGCCATTGCTTTCTCCTGCACTATATCCCCTACATTCAGAACTGATGGTGCCGATCAGATGGGAAGGATGATCAGGATATCCAAAAATGATTTATTGATTAAACCAGGCTGAAACTGGGAGCCATGTCCAATGGACTCAAGGATGTGTAATAAGTCATCCTGTGTTATGAGAGCTGCCTGGATTCAGGCTCAGTCAGGAAAATGGATTTCAGGATCAATCCTGTACAGCTATTGTATTTTCATATTCTGTGTACCTGTATTACAAAATTACTGCTGAGTGGTGTTTCTGTCTCACTTCAAAACCCTCTCCTTACTCATTGGCATTTGTAAAAAGATAAGTCTGGATTTTGTGGCATTATTTATTGACATTACATGCAGCTTGTGTTCTACAAGTCTACAAGGTTATATATTTCTTTATTCTTTTTCCAAAGGTTTTACAAAACTGACTGCTGTGTAATGGTCTCACTTGCTTGGTTCTTGGGTGATTCTGCTGTTGCTCACAGTGCATTTAGCTATACCTGCGAAGAAAAAATCCATATGACGCTGTCATGATTTATCTGACCCCGGCTAGAAAGCTGCCATAGATTTGTTGTGTAGCTGAAAGAGTAAAAGAGAGATTATTGAAGGTTGAAACATATGGAGAGAATGGTTAAGATGAAGAAAAAGTGAAATGAAAGCCAAAGAGAAAGCATGATTAAGAGGGTTGACAAAGAAAAGGTTTCTGGAGTTGTGTAATATTAGAATGGCTTCGAGGATTATCATGTGAAACCTTACTGGATATTGGGAAAAGACTTATTGAGAATTAATGTATATTGTACAGATAAATTTTGTGAATATTCATTGTATTAATAAGAGTACTTTACTACAGGTGGGATGTTCCCTTTGTCTGCTGGGAGCCACTGTGGTGGTCATTCATGCTCCCAAAGAGACTGAAGTAACCAACATGGAGGATTTGGCTGCCAAACTCGTAGATCCAGGTGAATTTATGTAAGATATGATCAAAGATAGAACACATGAAGATTAGTACCTAGCGTATTTCACCTTAATGTTAACTTAAACTAACCTAACCCCTTCTAATAGCATTATGGTGTTTAATCATAAAGTGAAATAAACTGAAGGGACTAATCTTCTTGAGATCCCTAAAGATAATGAAGATTTCCATAGATTACACATTTATAGATAAAACTAAAGTTCATGCTGTATGTTATGAAACATCCAGAATATAATACTTTGTATACATCCTTAAAAAATTCGGTCACGTAGTGAAACAACTATGAGTGAGGATTATTTCCCCATAAGAATTAATGGAATAAGGGAGGTTATATTCCTATTCATCACGTATCATCACTCATGCAACATAAAAGGGAGAAATTTCTATCATACAAAATAATGTAGGCAATAAGGGGGGTTAAGTTCCAAGTCATTGCCACTGTCCCTTATTTCATCCAAACAAAGAAAAAAAAGTCAGTACCATTACAATATGTAGCTCATTGTACTGTACAGTGAACTAATACTCTCTCACATTGTATTTGATGCTCAAAGTTCAGTAGTAACTTAACTCTCTGTTTGATTTTGCCCCACATCTTAATCATGGAATGACCAGTGGTAGGAGGCAGACCCCATATGCAGGCCATGCGAACTGCATTCTTGCCACTCTCAGCTCTTTAAAACTTTTAACTTTAACTCTAATATTTTACTCAAGAGATAATGAGGATAGAATGCACAATAGTCTCAGATACAGTACCTGTACAATGTTTACAGCCAAATCAAGCAGTGATGCTGATACATAACTATTCACATAAGATGTTGCATTGGTTCACTACTTCTTTATGTCTAGTTCCAATGAATACAAAAGAAGTCCCGTACTGTATAAAATAATTATCTAAATAGTACTGTACAGTATTTTCGTTCTCAGTAACAAAATTCAACCTAGAATAACCAAAATACTGTAGACCGTAAAATAATAAAACAGTACAGGTGTAAGTAGCTCACATGCTGACTTATTACAACACCGTGCTCAGGAGTTCAAATGACAAATATGTGGGATATAAATGATGAATAACTGTAAAGTGTCCTCCAATTGATTAGTGATGGATGTGTCTGAAACTGAATAAAGGGGAAAAGAACAGAGACCAATTGTATAATATATTCTTAAACTGTTAACACTTTACAGGCAGAATTAAAAAAATACTGTATATTCCTCTTGAAGGAGTACATCATGAAGCTGTACAGTATAGTATCTGTCATTTGTAAGTACTTTATGAAGTAATATATTTTAACAAAAGATTTGAGCATTCTAATTCCTATTCTGTGGTCCCCATTTCTCTGTGCTAGTTTTGTGTTCTCATTTACATATAGTACAGGTAATTGTTTTGATTTGTTTTATTATTTATTTGTAAATAATTACTTATCATAATTTTTGCAGGTGTATTTGCAGTTGCATTCTTTAATTATTTTATTCTCATCATAAAATATTTACTTTTAACCATAAATGAATTTGCTTTACACTATTCGCTTAAGAATTACATTTCCAAACTCCTGGTACAGGTATAAAAAAATGCTGGTTTCAGAAAATAACAGGTAACAACAGAGGGAGGAAATGAATGAAAAAAAATTTTTTTTGTCACATCTTGTGGTTTTTACTCACAAAATATTAGCCTTTTTTTTCTTACATATAACAATAAATAATAATAATAAACAGTTTATTAATAGAGTTGCAGCCGGTGGCTGAAAATATACAGACTTACATTTGATTTAGACATAGTGATATAATATGCATTGAATACATTTACAGGGCTGTACAGTACATAAATTAGGAGTTGTTTATTATTTTAACAATAGATGGGATGGTGCTGTTCTTATATCTATCGGTGCGGGCTCTTGTGGGCTGAATTTTGTTGTGGTGGCGGACTGCGCGAGTTGGGTGGGGGGCAGGAGGTGGCAATGACGAGGGTGGTGCAGTAGTCCACTGCCAAACCTTTCCAGTGCTTGGTTTTGGAGGTCACTGAGGGATGGCATTTCCAGGGTGGAGAGAGCGTTGGTGTAGCCGGAGTATTCTGCGCCGAGCATGATTCTGCAGGCCCTTTTCTGTACCTTCTCTAGCTGATGTACAGTATATGGATCAGATACAGAAAAGTCTTACCTAACTGTTGCAATAAACCATATTATTCAACATGCATAACTTATGGACATGTAAAGCAGAATCATAAGTTCTCACATCTGCCACCATGCAACCCTCATTTCCCATGGGACCCCATGTGTTTACATTCTAAAAAATACACAGGTTGTTGAAACTTTCACATCCAAGTCTTATTGGTAAGAGTTAACACAGGCTCAGTTACCAACCTCTTCAACAGTCCTCATCATGTATTCACTCAAAATTATTTAGGTGTTTTATGTTTGTCTTTGCACATTACACTTCATCTCTAGTAATACTCATAATTAACTTGTGATATATTTTCTTTACAGTGTTTATGGTTTATGTTGCGCTGGTGATTGCTGCAGCACTTGCACTAATATTTCACTTTGGTCCTCGGTATGGATCCCGTAATGTAATTATTTACATTGCTATCTGCTCCCTCATTGGTGGATTTTCAGTGCTAGGTTGCAAAGCCATTGGCTTGGCTGTAAAGGTAAATGTAAATTCTGAGATATAGTTTATTTGAATTTGATATTACATGAACTGTCATTATAGGAGAATTATGACTTATGTGAAAAATAATTAATATACCAGGTATGATTAGATTTTTAAAATCACTTCCCATTAATAAATTAATAGCATGGTTTATTTTTAAAGTGTAGTAATTCAGTGCTGTGCATGTTTAAAAATGACTGTAGTTCATGACTAATTTAAGTACAAAATATTGGCAAATAAAGCTGCTTAACCCTTCGTGGATGGGACCTCAAATTTCCAGTACAGTAATTCTGACTGTATCTGTTGTGGGATATTTCCAAAAAGGGTTAAAAGTCCTTTATTTTCCCCTGCCCAAAGATGTTTTAATACAGTGGTCCCTCGGTTAACGAACACAATTCATTCCCGAAGGTCGTTCGTTAACCGAAAATTTTGTTAACCGAAATCATTGTTTCAATGGGATTTTGGGTAATTGGTTCCAGCTCGCCGAAAATTACATACAAACTAAAAATAAATGCAGTAAAGTACACTTACTTTGAGGTGTGCATGTAGAAGGCTCCTGGTTGATGATGATGATGATGGGAATTCGAAGTGGGGGTGGAGGAGAAGGGAGAAGAGAAGGCGTTGGGGTGGAAGTGAAGACACCCCATGCGTCATGTCGCCATTCCACCCATAAAATTTTAGTTCACTTGGTGTAATTCAAGATTATTTTCTTCAAATCAACACTGCACTGCATTATATATTGTCAATATGTAAAATAAACCAGAATGACCAATAATTGTACTGCACTGTAAAAATGTAAAAATAGTTTATGTTCAAGAGAGTCTCAAGCAAGATGCTTCCTCCACTGAGCAAGGACACACACTGACACCATTTTGGGTGAGTCAAGTGGCTGTTTGGCACGCTAAAAACTAGTTTCCTGTCCTTGAATTATGTTAAATAATTGTTAAAATGACAAAAAAATTTAATATAAGACTTGGAAAATTATTGAATAGTACAACCTTCTTAATACAGTATTTACACAAATGGTAATGAATTTAAGCCCTAGAACCGATTACTGTATTGGCGGACTAATACTACAGCTGGTAAACAGGCGAAAACATGTTGGGAAAAATTTGTAAGGAATTCGTTAACCGAAGTGAAGATTCTTATGGAAGGTAATTCGTTAACCGAAATTTCATTAATTGAGGCGTTCGTAAACCGAGGGACCACTGTATTATTTTTAGTTTTAGTAGGAATATTACGAATCTTTTTCTTATTTTGACAACTCTTAATGCCAATGTCAAAGTTTACTTCTTAAGGCTGAGCTAGAAACACTTTTGGCGTTCATTTGAAAGATAAAATCTCTCAATGACTAAAGAACTAACCCTCATAATTATCATACTACAGTAATTGAAATTTTTATGGTGTGTTTGGGTTTTCCCTGGCATGTAGTTAAACTGTACCAGCACTGTAGTAGTGAAAAAAAATCCAAAATATATTAAATTAACAATCATTTCCACATCCTCAATAGCTGAACCCACAACAGCATTTCTTTACATAGAATTTTGGTGTTTAAAAAGAGACAATTTCACCCCTTGCATTTAATTGGAGTTGTTTGAGAAATAAAATTTCATATACAGTAGTACCCCGATTTACGCGGTCAATTGAACCCACAGGGTACCGCAGAAAGTGAACAACAGAACATATGGGATTAATTCCAATAGAGACTGGCCCGACCCCCAAACTCCACTTTTTCCGACACAATACCTATGTTGTAGTAAAAATAACATCTAAATTTTATGATGGTATGCTCACACAATTAATATTTAAGAGAAATACAGTCGCCAGTTAATGTCCATTCAAATTCCCCCCCCCTCTTCCCAGCTCACTAGCTCCTACCTCTCTGAGAAACAATTGGGTGAAAACACTAGATTTTAACATTTAGTAATAAATAATACTGTAAAGCGAGGTAATACAGTACAGTATTACCCCGCTTTACACGGTTTCACTTTCCGCGATTTCTCATTTACGTGGTACCTTGCCAGAAACGGACTTTCACTTTCCGCGGTGCATCTACTCATATACGCGGTGAAGTATAATTTATTTATTTATTTATTTTTATTTAGCTCATAAAATTCATACAAATTACCCGGCCAGAATATAATTTACATTGCTGGAATTCTTACAATATGATGATCATTTTGAATATAAACATCATGGATTTTGCATTAGACATACAAATTTTAGATCTAATGTAATAATTTGGTTTACACAAAGCAAATATTTTATCCTTTGTGCAGAATATATGAAGTTTACATTCAAAATATTCCCTGACCTGCAAGGAATCCAGAAATGTCAATTATATTATCCTAACTTTAGTCTGAGGTATTATTTATTACTAAACGTTAAAATCTAGTGTTTCACCCAATCATTTCTCAGAGAGGTAGGAGCTAGTGAGCTGGGAAGAGGGGGGGGGATTTGAGTCCATTATTTGAATGGACATTAACTTGGCGACTGTATTTCTCTTAAATATTAATTGTGTGAGCATACCATCATAAAATTTAGATGTTATTTTTACTACAACATAGGTATTGTGTCGGAAAAAGTGGAGTTTGGGGGTCGGGCCAGTCTCTATTGGAATTAATCCCATATGTTCTGTTGTTCACTTTCCGCGGTACCCTGTGGGTTCAATTGACCGCGTAAATCAGGGTACTACTGTAATTGATAGATTTGGGTAAATAGAGCTAATATAAGAAAAAGTAATAGAGGATTTTTCTTGAAATTATGGTAATGAAATGATGTTTCACAGAAAAAATATAAACATTTTACTAATTAACTGATGCAAAATTTTTCTTGGTAGGAAACCATAAGTGGTAAAAGTGAATTTAGTAACTTGATCACCTGGTTCTCACTGCTGAGTCTTATCATCTGTGTCAGCACTCAGATGAACTATTTAAATAAGGTGAGGTTACTTCAGTATTGCCCTCTTCTACATTCTTGTAATAATCTTTCACTTTAATTTAGTTTTTTAATTATTTTATTCTATTAAATCTCATAGTTCTTTCTTTTCTTATTTACTTCATTCCTTATTATCATTTTCAGTGTCTTGTAATCTTCCTCAACACTTCATATGGACTTTTTACTTTTACTTTCTTTTAGTGCCTTATTATTTGTAAAGGGTCTTTACTGTCCATCAACTCTTTTACCATATTTTCCATCTTTGTAAGATGTACTTTTTCCCCCAAAAAATTTCTCCCAAACTCACCCTGCATCTTATACTGTATGCCAAAGGTTAACCCTAGGGGGATAAGAACACTGACTAAAACCAAGATGGTAAAATGGGCACATAATTAGATTTTGCACTTTTTCCCGGGAAATTTCATTTATCTGGCTCAATGTGGGATTTTTGTTATCATATTATTTGTTGCTTTTTCATTATGAACTTTTGATATATTTTCCAAATCTGGCAAGAAAAAAAATCATATACATAAGTACAGTACAGTAGTTTATAGAGAACATTTATTTTAAATGCAGAAAACAGGTGCTGTACTGTATATATTATCCTACACTGTACTGTACTGTGTATGGAAAAAAATTATAAAAATAAGTCAATAAACAGTTAGTTTAAATATTTATTACATATAATAATGACAATAAAAAAAAAGATAACAGTAGACAACAAAATACAAATTACTGTACAGTTGACCCTCGTTAATTCGGACCCCTTTAATCCGGATTTCAGATAATTCGGACAAAATCTGAACGAACTTTTTTTTTCTTTTTTTTTTTAGATTTGTAGGAATATTACCTACGCGGACCTTAAGCTAAAATGCTGGTCCACCCACTGCTGGGATAAAACACCAGCGTCTTTTTGGTTAAATGTAACATCTCCACCACTAGTGTGGGGGGGGGGGATGCATCTTTTAGCTTCAGACATGAAAAATATTTACTATTTACTGCCAGTAAACAATGGAAACGTAAAATATGTACCAATTAGTAATGAAAAGTTGTGCAGTTTCTTCAGCAAATGAAGCTCACCAACTTACAATAGGCTAAATTACCTTACAACGTGTTTTCAGTAGTCTATGTTGAAGTTCTTAGCACAGGCTAACTTATCATATCATATACGGTATAACAGTTCTCATTCATCTACAAAAAATACCGGTAATAAAAACCTTTTTGATATTTCACACTTAATATAATACCCGGTAATCGACTTCAACCTCCTGTTGTTTACAACGACGCATGACGCACCACCAGCTGTTGAGTATCAGCTAGACGGCACACGTGTTTTTCAAATCGTTTTCAGTTAAAAAACTGTTACATCACATGTATATTTTACCTTAACTGTGCCTGAATGAATATATTCTCGGAAATAAATAGTAGTTTTGCTGAAACATGATGTATTTTAATGTAAAATAGGATAAAATACATGACGAAAACAAAAGATTTTACCTAACCTTCCGATGTTCAAGAGAAGTTACTCGTTTTTTAATAGTTTTTGGTTAAAATACTGTTATATTACAATGGTATTCTATTCATACTGTGTTTGATATAATGCATTCACGGAAATGTAATATTTTTGCTGAAATGACGTACGTATTACAGTGGAAAGTGGGATAAAATCGAGACGAAAACAATGACTTTCGCTTTCTTTCGTTCAAAAGATGTTACCGTAATCGCTTTTCGATTGGTTTTCACTTAAAAAATTGTTGTATTACAATAATATTCTATCCTAATTGACTTGAATAAATACTACGATACAGTGGGGTATGCTATAACGAACGTAATTTGTTCCAGAACCTCGTTCGTTATAGGATTAATCCGTTCCAGGCTCCCAAATACAACCACTTAACACTGAAAAAATTCTGTGGAAAATGTAAAAAATACGGAACTTTATCTTACCTTAGTGTTAATCAGCATGCAGGTACCCCTAAACACTGGCACAGCACTATCACTTCCACTGGGAGTCTTGGCTTTAAGGTCCTCAAACAATTGTTTAGCCTTCTCACAAATTATAGCTTCACTAATGTTACCACCTGCCATTTCTTTCTCCTTTATCCACACTAAGAGTAAATTTTCCATCTCTTCAATCACATTACACCTTGCTTTGCTAAGTCTAGAGATTCCCTTAGCCACTTGCACTGTTTTTAACTCCCCTTTATTCTTCAAAATCGTACATATAGTCGATTTAGCCATCCCATGTTCATCACTAAGTTTCGCAATGCTTCTTCCATTCTCACGTTTCTTTATAATTTCTTTCTTAGTTTCAAGGATTATTAGCTTTCTCACTCGCTTTGGACGATTCATTGTTACAATTGTATACTTGTACAACAAAATAGTTATACAAATAATGCAAATTTCCACATTAAAAGACGAAATTTCAACAATAACAGTGGTGCACTGGCTACACAATGAGAAAAACATGGCGCCTGACGCTCTTGTTGTGGGTCGCGGTACAACAATATTCATGCGCCAGGCGAAATAGTCACGTATTCATCCGCGTTCGTTGTAGGAGTTGCGTTCGTTATAGCATTCTCAATTTTATAGGTAAAACCGTTCGTTATAGGAATGTTCGTAGTAGGATCCGTTCGTTATAGCATACCCCACTGTACCATATTTCTGAATATTTTCATTAAAATCCATCAAAATCATTTTCCTTGTCTATCGTCTGCAGCACCAAACAGCTTCTCCCAGTCCTCTCCTTGAACAGGGCTAGAGGGTACGTGTTTTTCGAATCGTTTTCAGTTAAAAAACTGTTACATCACACGTATATTTTCCCTAAACTGCGCCTGAATGAATAAATTCTCGGAAATAAACAGTAGCTTTGCTGAAACGTGATGTATTTCAATGTAAAATAGGATAAAATACATGACGAAAACAAAAGACTTTACCTAAGCTTCCGATGTTCTTGAGATGTTGTTCGTTTTTTTACTAGTTTTCGGTTAAAATACTGTTATATTACAATGATATTCTATTCATACTGTGCTTGATATAATACATACACGGAAATGTAATATTTTTGCTGAAATGACGTACATATTACAGTGGAAAGTGGGATAAAATCGTGACGAAAACAATGACTTTGAAATATAATGCAATATTAACCCCTAAATCGGTTAATTCGGACAATCGGCTAAAACGGACACCCTTCCCCCCCTATTAGTTCGAATTAACGAGGGTCGACTGTACTGCTAAAAATACAAGACTCAAATGTCCCCTGGTCTTGCAGCAGCACCACACAGTTGACCAAATGTCATTTTGTACAAAGCTTAGTATTTCATTCTGTACAGCAATCACCACAGGCCCACAGCTATAACATCCATAAACTGCCCACAGATAGAAAAAAGTATTTATAAAGCCTCATTCAAGTGTACTGTGTATAAAAATAATTAGGGTGATAATGATAGACACAGACATAGATATAAATTTTAGCAGCATATTACAAAATGTTAAGCCTATACGAGCTTTATTTTTCTGTACATTTCAAGTATTTCTCTTGAAGTTTTTGCTAATCTTAGTACTTCTTCATTTGTTTTCCTGTCAGTGTAGCTTATTCTTAGCATTTACCTATAACACTACATTTCAAAGACATCCAAACTCTTTCTGGTGCCTGCTGAAAGTGTCCATGCTTCTGACCCTTATACCCTGTATATTGTTTACTAAATTTTCCTTTTCTCTTATTGGCAACATATGTATGATAAATTGTATTTTTCCTAGGCTTTCCTCATTTGTTATTATAAGTCTTAATGTGCTCAGCATCTTGGTGGAACTCCATTGTGCATTTTGTCCATCTGATTTCAGGTTCTTTTTGACTGTCATTTACCATATTATTTTGAAACTTAATTTGAATTTATGTTGGGAAAATCTCTGGAAGTTTTTTTAGCGGGTTTACTGGGAATTGTATTTTTTCTATTATGTTTATTTACATTTTTATTTATTTATTTATTTTTTATTAAAACATTCATTTTTAAGTAGTAAAGCACATAGTTGTCACAAGAAGCTTGTTTTATTGTGTTTTTTCTTCTGTGGCAGTCTTTCATAAAGAGTTCAATGTTTAATAGTTTAACTATTACAATAATTTGTATTTTTTCATATCATTCTTTATTTTAGAGGTAAACTTTATTTTGATTTTTTCTGATAAAGATAAATAAATAGATTTTTATATCTATAGGCTATGGTACTGATATATAAACAGTATTCCCTTAAAGCTCGCTGGGGTTAGGTAAAATGGACCCCATGAGAAAGCAAAATCCGTGAGTTTTTCATGCCAGTCCCAGGAATGTGCAAAATCCATATATAAATAGCGATATGTACATGTATAACAACATTATGTATGCATAAAACAATATAATAAATATGAAATAACATAAATAAATAAGCATAAACATGAAATAGCACTGTATGGACTTTAGGTAAACACAGTGATAGTTAGTTGTGGTAGTGACAATGCAAAGACAATACCACTGAAATATCAGCTGTTCTGGTGGACTGGATGTAAATAATCCTTGTACAAGACAGTTCCGAGTGAACATGCCCAGTATCGATAAGTATTTGTGATGTGTAACACTTATAATAATTATATCCTTTTGTATTAAATAAGATAAATTTTATTAATAATGCCAACAAATGTTTGATAATAGGTCCATTAAGTAATTGTAAGCTGTGGTAGTGAGAAACATGATAGCATATAGCCAGTGATTTGGCTTTGACAGTACAATAGGCTATTAAATCTGCAAAAATTATTATTCCAAAATATACCTTGATAATTATAGGGTGCATCTTATGACCTGGGAAATATGGTACTCTGTACTGCCCTGTACTGTTGACTCCTCTTGATCCCTGGCACACAGCCTCAAATATATTTTATTTATTTTCCATGGCAATCCGTGAGTTCACGCAAACCTTAAAACTGCGAGCTTTAAGGGAATATTGTCTGCAGTTCAGTAGACTATAAAGAGTTTTCTCCAAAATTTTAGTCAGAGGATAGGGCAATTGGCTGTACACACTATCTCTCTCTTATACTGTACATGTTTTTCATCACTACATTTGTCAATTTTGTGCTTCCACCCATTAATCTTTGTATTCAGGCTACATATATATATATATATATATATATATATATATATATATATATATATATATATATATATATATATATATATATATATATATATATATATATATATATATATATATATATATATTATATATATAGTATACCTGGTAATGTTATTGCTAGTTTTATATTTAAGTTTATCTTTGAATGTTTAGATGTATAACTGGTGCATTCATAGCCTGTGGACATATATAAAGTTATTTTTAAGTTATTATATACAGTGACCCCACCGTAAACGAACTCAATCCGTTCCAGAAGGTCGTTCGTTAACCGAAAAGTTCGTTAACCGAAACCATTGTTTCAATGGGTTTTTGGGTAATTGGTTCCAGCTCACCGAAAATTTCCTAAATTCAACAAAAATGGTAGAAAAGTTCACTTACTTTGAGGTGTGTATGTAGAAGGCTCCTGGATGATGATGATGATGGGATTTAGAATGGGGGTGAAGGAGAAGGAAGAAGAGAAGGCATTGGGGTGGAAGAGAAGTCACCCCATGGCGCCATTTCACCCATAAAATTTTAGCTCTCTTGGTGTAATTCAAGATTATTTTCTTTAAATCAACACTGCACTGCATTATATATTGTCAATATGTAAAATATATTTCAAAATGACCAATAATTTGCTTGGAAACACAGAAAACAAGCGTTTAGTTGAAGAGAGTCTCAAGCAAGATGTTACCTCCAGTGAAAACAGAGAGAGACTAACGCCTGTTTGCTGTGTTAAGAGGCTGGATGCCGCACATTAAACTAGTCACTTTACCTTCAATTATGTTCAATAATTGTTAAAATGACTAAAAAATTGAATATTAAACTTTTAAAATTATTGAATAGTATAAACTTCTTGATATTTACTAAAATAGTAAGGAATTTAAGCCCTAGAACCGATTAATGTATTGGCGGACTGATACTAAAGCTGGTTGCCCGGTCAGTGCAAGCGAAAACATGTTGAGGTCGGTTCGTAAGAACTTCGTTAACCGAATTTTTTTTCGTTAACCGAATTGAAGATCCTTATGGAAGGCAGTTCGTTAATCGAAATTACGTTAACCGAGGTGTTCGTTAAACTATATATATATATATATATATATATATATATATATATATATATATATATATATATATATATATATATATATATATATATATATATATATATATATATATATATATATATATATATATATATATATATATATATATATATATATATATATATATATATATATATATATATATATATATATATATATATATATATATATATATATATATATATATATATATATATATATACTGTATATTTATTTAGTTATTATTATTTTTATTTTTATTTTATTTTTTTGTCTCCTTGACAGTGCTTTATAGTTTCCTGATGTCTTTTGGCATATGATTTCTACAATTACTTGTCATTTTACCCTTAGGCTCTAGACATCTTCAATACATCGTTGGTGACACCCATCTATTATGTATTCTTCACGGCCTGTGTCATCCTCTCATCAGCAATGCTCTTCAAGGAATGGAAGGGTCTGCCAGCCAAAGATGTCATAGGTGTTTTGGCAGGGTTTTTCACTGTTGTCATTGGCATCTTCATTCTACATGTATTCAAGTATGTAACAATGAAAATAATAATTCACGATTTATTTGTGATAATTAGGTACTGTACAGTATATGTACAGGTTGACAACCCTTTATCCGAAATTCCGAAAACCGAAAAGCTCTGAAATCCGAAAGTTTTTTGTGGAGCAATTTTTTTTTTTTTTTTTTTTTTTTTTTTTTTTAACAGGGATTAGCCCACCCAGGCATAGATCACTGACCCACATCGGGGCCTGGTGGGCGAAAATGTAATATTAATACTAATTTTAATAATAACAATAATTATTCATAGTAAATAAAAAAATTAATAAAAAATACACCAAAATAAAATAATAATAACAATAATAATACGAAGAAAATATAATGATAAAATTAATAATAATAATAATAATAATAATAATAATAATAATAATAATAATAATAATAAAGAAATACAAGAATGAAAAAAGATAAAAAGTGAGAAACACGACCTAGACCTATGAATTATTATTATTATTATAATTATTATTATATTTCGCCTCCCAGGCCCCAATGTGGGTCAGTGACTTGTTCCCGGGTGGGCTAATATACATTAAAAAATAAATAAATAAATAAATAAAATAAATAAATAAATAACCATTATGAAAACCGAAAAATTCCGAAATCCGAAATGCCTCTGGCCCCAAGATTTTTGGATAAGGGATTGTCAACCTGTATCAGTTTATCCTGAATACAGATTAATAAGTATAGTAATAAGTATAGAGACCGAGAATGTTTGTGAAATAAAAAAAAATCACCATATATGAATACTGTACACTTAATTCAATGCAGCATGCCCTGACAATTCGCGGATTTTTAATTCACAGACCTCGATTATTTGCGGATGACACCCTGGAAGTACTCAAGAATGTCTAAGGGTAGTTTTAAAGTTGCTGGCATTTTCACGGCCGAGACAGGGAGCCATTCGTTCTAGAGACAGTAATTTCTTTTACCTGTATTGTATATACAGTATGTGTGTGTAGACACACACACAAAACACATAAAAATAAATAATAATGGGAAAATCCTCTCACAAATAATCAGAAACAAGACAACAAAATGTTTTAAAAATGCAAGACATATATACAATACAGGTAAATGTACCCCCCTCCTGATCAGCAACTGCTATTCACGGATTTGGCTATTAATGGCCAATTTGAAAATCTAACCCCCGTGAATTTTAAGGGCATGCTGTACAGTATTACCTCTGTACCGAAATAATTGGTGAGCAACCAGTTTGGTATTGGGAGTTTTTCGGTATACAGGTAGTTGTACAGTAAAACCCCCATAATTCGTGCCCCTCTAATTCAAATTCACTCATGATTCGTAAAGTTTTTGCTGTTACAAAATAAATATTATATTTTTTGTAATATTTAGTAAAATTTTGAAATAAGAGACATATTGAAATGCTATACAGTACAGTAGAACGTCGATATAATGCGAGATATGTTCCAAGAGAGGTCGCTTTAAACCGAAATTGCACTAAATCGAAGTGTTGTTTCAATGGAATAATTTAGTTTGGTACTTGAGAGAAACACAAGATACTAAAAAGACTGACAGTCTACCCAGTTGCACCTCAGCCCATCTCCTAGAATAAACAAAACATTGTTTTTTGTAGTATTATGTTAAAACAAACACTCATAAATCAACACAGCTAAAATTAAGGGATGCGAAATGGTCTGTTTACTGGCTGGGAAGATGGACGGGAGGGAGGGAGGTGAGGCGATATGTTTGACAGTTGATGCCAAGGTCTATTGCTTATTTATTTATGTCCTTAAGAGTGACTTTAAGTTTTTCTCTTATAATATGTCACTAAACTGATCTGGGAGAATATAATTAACATTGCTGGAATTCTTACAAGATAGTGATTAGTTTGAATATATACTTGCTATAGTTTGCATTAGACATACAAATTTTAGTTTTAATTAATTTTATTACAAAGGACTAAAATTTTTACCTCTTGTGCAAAATATATGACTTTTATATTCAAATTATTCGCTGTCTTGCAAGGATTCTAGTAATGCAAATTACAGTATATTCTCCAAACTTTAGCCTGTGATATTATACAGTATAAGATAAAAACTGTGAGCCTATAACCACCCAACCCTGGCTGGGAAGATGGGGGTGACAGTGACACGTTGTTTGACAGTTGGAGCCGAAGGTTTAGTGAAGTATTTATTTGTTTATTTATGTCCTTAAGATTGTGTTTTTGTTTTTCGTTTATAAAATGTCACAGAAGTGACCGGGGAGAATATTGAATTGAATTGAAACAGTTTCTTTAGCCAGGAAAACACAGATACGGAGTGGATATTAATAATAATATTAACATGGCTGAGCCAGTTGAGAACCTGAGCTCTCTTTTAGGCACCTGATATATACTATACATTTATCTCAAGGAAGTATTATGTAACATTTAGTACCATCTGGAATAGTACAATAGCATGGTGTTAATAAGAACATCTCATGATGTTTTCACGGTAATCACTTCAATAGTTAATTATTTTATTTTTTTTTTTTTGTTTACCGTTAGCTTATTTTTTTATTGCTGGAATTCTTATAAGATAGTGATTAATTTGAATATAATCATGCTATAGTTTGCACTAGACAAAAGTTTTAGTCATCATTTAGTACATTATTTTGAGTTCATGTACAGTACAGTTTGCCCTTAGGATAGTGTAGTGTGCCCAGAGAAACATGAGGCGCAAATTTTAAAATTGATGCGTCAGATTGTAATACTTTACGGTATTTGGGTAAAATTTTGGATTATGGGAGACATTTACTAATACATACATATGACAACATGTCAGTGTAAACACGTACTATACATGTCACACGTGTTGATCACGGTGAGTTCACGTTGGTCAGTCGTGAAGTGTACAGTGACCCCTCGTTGAACGAACTCAATCCGTTCCAGAAGGTCGTTCGTTAACCGAAAAGTTCGTTAACCGAAACCATTGTTTCAATGGGTTTTTGGGTAATTAGTTCCAGCTCACCGAAAATTTCCTAAATTCAACAAAAATGGTAGAAAAGTTCACTTACTTTGAGGTGTGTATGTAGAAGGCTCCTGGATAATGATGATGATGATGGGAATTAGAATGGTGGTGGAGGAGAAGGGAGAAGAGAAGGTATTGGGGTGGAAGAGAAGTCACCCCATGGTGCCATTTCACCCATAAAATTTTCGTTCTCTTGGTGTAATTCAAGATTATTTTCTTTAAATCAACACTGCACTGCATTATATATTGTCAATATGTAAAATAAATTTCAAAATGACCAATAATTTGCTTGGAAACACAGAAAAAAAGCGTTTAGTTGAAGAGTCTCAAGCAAGATGTTACCTCCAACGAAAACAGAGAGAGACTAACGCCTGTTTGCTGTGTTAAGAGGCTGGGTGCCACGCATTAAACTAGTCACTTTACCTTCAATTATGTTCAATAATTGTTAAAATGACTAAAAAATTGAATTTTAAACTTTTAAAATTATTGAATAGTATAAACTTCTTGATATTTACTAAAATAGTAAGGAATTTAAGCCCTAGAACCGATTAATGTATTGGCTGACTGATACTAAAGCTGGTTGCCCGGTCAGTGCAAGCGAAAACATGTTGAGGTCGGTTCGTAAGAAATTCGTTAACCGAATTTTTGTTCGTTAACCGAATTGAAGGTCCTTATGGAAGGCAGTTCGTTAACCGAAATTTCGTTAACCGAGGCGTTCGTTAAACGAGGGGTCACTGTACATCTACTGTCGACCTCGCAAGCTTTTCCACTTGTTTTTCCATCATTGCCCAGTGTTTAAGCCATTAAATCTGACAACCATGGACCAAGCACCTAAATCTATAGAGTGTAAGGAGGTAATGTATACTTAGAAATGTTTTAATTTTGATTGGGGCAGATAACAGAAAAAATACTGTTGATTTGGGTTTTTTACCCCTGGGAGAAGGTGTCCCTCGTGTTTCATAAAATCTCATAACCTGTAAGGGCTAGAGCCCTTATTATTTTGAATCATGGGGGTGTTACTGTAAATTGAATCCGAAAACTTCTCCAATATTGAACATTAATCGGTATACTATATGAAAACCTTTTTGTATTTTAAGTCCAGATAAATTGTCACAAAACTGGATTTTTATTGTTGTTGTTGTTATTATATAAAATATAGTTTGGAAACAAAAGACTTTAATAAACACAAAATATCAATACAGTTGACCCTTGCTATTTGCGGGGTTTAGGTTTCACAGATTCTTTGATGGTGTGGTGGAGACTTGTAATTTGTATCTTAGGCTCACCACTGTTACATTTGTAATCCTTGTAATTTGCCTTTTAGTTTCAGCTGGCTAGTTCATTTAATTACTTTCACTATTTGTTTATGCCTCATCAGGTTGTTTGATGTTCAGATAAACACTAATTCTTTTCTTAAGTTATTATACAATACAGTACATCTTTTGTTTGTACAGTATGTTGAAGTAATGACGAATTAACCGACAATGAGCAACAGCCCTTTTTATGAGAGAATGTAGGAGATTATAGATAGAGCCCCAGCAAGTTTCTAAAGTGTTTTATATTCTTTTCAAACAAAAGTGATATCTATTAGACTGAAAAAGTAGAGGGAATTGAAAGCTTGACATAAAGTTGTGAATCCCCCAAAATTCATAATTAAACTTGAAGCTTTAAATATTTGGAACAACTTTCCATGAGGAACCATGATGGAAATATATGTAATACTGTTTTTATGTTCTTAGCTCTATCTTATGTCATTGCATGATTGAGTATTTCACAATTTGGTCTTCAGTGTTAACAGCATAGTTGTGTATTGCTATAAAATAATCTTTTTCACAAGAAACTTATGGCGGACTGCATCTGTCATTGTTAGGCATCTTACATCATGTTCTCTGGTTTTAGGGATATGGAAGTCACATGGGTGGGCATGACTTCCCTGCTGACTGCCCAAAACTCAGGAGAGTCAAGAAGGAGTAGTTCAGATCAACCAGATGCTGTTAATGACATAACCCAACTAGCAGAGGAAGAAGAAGGACTCATTACATCAGAACCTCTTTCCTATGGATCCAATAAGCGTGTTTACTAAAATTAAAATAAATATACAAATATAGCTGTTGGCATTTAAAGGATGTTGTGGGGACAACAATGTCTCTTTATTGGCACATGCAGCATATAAAGATCTTGTCATTGATTGTTTTAAGATGATCTTGCTTTCATATTTTCATATTGAAAGGCTTAAAGATATACAGTAGTGTGTGTATATATATATATATATATATATATATATATATATATATATATATATATATATATATATATATATATATATATATATATATATATATATATATATATATATATATATATATATATATTGTAAGTATTAAACTTTAAAAAGAGTCCTGTTCTGTGATTCTTGCATTTCAAATATTATTCTTATGCCAAAGGATATACATACTTTACCCCTGGGCTGCGTTTAGTGATGCACTATGTGCACTACAGGAATTCGTCACACGTTATGGTGCATACTGAACAGTTGTGATGTCATTGCATACTACATAAACAAATCAAGGTGATTGCTAGGTTACACTTATCACAGTGTGGGTCTTGGCAGTGTGCTGCAGGAATAATGGCTTGCCATGCAGCAGAAGTTGGACTCTTTGGAATAAACTTTCAATGCCACCACTGTCTGTAATCAGCATGAATAACTTCACAAAAGAATATACAGGTATATACAGTATATATATTTCTTACCTAAATAGTCAGTAGGTGTTTTCAAAATTATCTAAAATTATCCATTAGACAGTTATGTATTGTGCTCATTGCAATGCCATAATTATGTATACTTGGGTCTCTGTAATACTTACTGCAGGTCTGTAAGTATGCACATACTTCTTGGAGATCTGTAAATACAGAATTACAGTCACTCCAGTTGCTGTCTTTATAAACACCTCAGCACTATGGAGCTACCCACCTCCATGGGCTGTAGTCTTCATAGCACTACAAGAATTTTGAATCACCAACTACACTGCCGTTCAGTTGAAAAGGTAGTACGACAGTACTGTACTATGAACAATACAAGTTATGCAACTGAACGCAGTCCAGGTGTGTGTGTGCACGTGTGTGCGCTGTACAAGACATTGAGTTATAGTTTGCTGCCAAAACTAGAATTTTTTTCCAAAAGATTAATTGGTAATAATTACCTTTCAGTCTTATGGTTTTGTCAACCTAATTCTTATAGATCTGTGTTTATGTTATGACTTCTGATTCCTGCATTGAAAAGTGTTAATCATTTACCAAGTTGTTGATAATCATCTTGGTCACTGTCTATACAGAGTGAAAGTAAGGGAACCAATTGAAGAGTGAGAATGGAAGAAATAAATAGTTGTCAGTAGATCAAGGGAGACACAGTAAACAATATAGAACTGTTTTTATAACTTAACACTTGTTCAGAGTGACCCAGGAATATTTGCCCAAGGCTTGTGGTTGTGGCAACTGAAGGTAATCCAGAGAGCATTCATTCCTCTGTGATAACCACCACTCAAATTACTGGAGAGGAAATCACAAAACCTTATGTCATGATGCTATGCAGCTTGGTTTTTGCCATGCATATTGCACTGCACTTAACAGTGCCATATACCCGGTTCACAGTAATTATGTCCCCACTCCAATCTGTCCAACTCCTCTTCCAATGTAAAGATAACTTCATGGTACAGTACTGTACTAGGGATTGGGCTGGGCCATGTAGTTCCTGTTAATGTAATATAATTGTAGGGAGGTGTTTGTTTTTTTCTCTTACTTTGTTTTATGAGTGTTTGTCTTTGTAAAAGCCTAGTGATGGTGTGCCAGTATGGCATTAAAGGGTTTTTTAACATTTCATGTCAAGCAAGGCCTGAATCCCTGAACTCTCAAATTTAATTTTCCCATAGTAAGGAGTAGATGTGTCATTCTTAGCTGAATAATTTTACTAATTCCAGTTTAAGGAACACATCATGTATAAGTGTTTTTTCAGTCAGCTGATTTGGAGTGCAATCCATGTCATGGAAGTTGTTTATATAGTAACACATCACCCAGTGATTAACCAGACAGTAGTGATAGTGGTACTTTGGAGGATATTTATAGTGGGCAAGGCAGTGAAGTAGTGCCACCAGTGACAAGAGGGCAAGGATCTCTCAGAAAAAAGTTGGGGGAGTGGATAGAAGGTTTGTACTTCCAACATCATGGCAGTTTTTGCATTTTTCAACTTTTTAATTGCTGCACTTTTATTATTATTATTATTGTTGTTATTATTTTTATTATAAATATTTCAGTTAATTCATTCTATGCAATTCAAATAGAAAATAATATGCTGAAGGAATGCTTCACTTGTGTGAAGATGATTTTGGAATTGGGTGAGCAGGTGCCTGTAAGTGTGTTCATGTGAGTTGGGTGGCCCTGTTTGTATTAGTGCCTTTGCTTTAAAACAATGTTAATAGATAATGTTTAATGGTTATCTGAATTGTTGAACAGTAGATATATTTGGCCAATGAAATCTTATTAACTTAAACTGTTGTCATTCTCTTCAGCTGATATATCGCAAAAGCACTATCATCGCCTAAAGACGATTGGCATTTAGTGCCATAAATTTAAAGCTGTGCCAAAAATCATACTAAAAATGAAAAGTCAGTGATTGGTAGACACACTAGAGTGAGGCACAAGGCTTGATGGGTGGACCTTTAAATCAACTTGCTATCATCATCTTGGACTGATTTGGAATTATTTGTGCTTCATCACCCTCCTGTCCTCAGTGGCCCCTCACCCACAATGACACAGGCTGGCTTACCACCCACTTTCCACCACAAAAGCCCACCATGCACCACCACAACTACATCTTTTGTCACAACAACCTGCACTCAGCAGTTGCCAGTTCCACTTTGTCTCACTTCACTGACTCATTTCTCACCACCCATGATGAGTACAAAGTTTTTATGTGGTTTTTATGGCCTCTAAATTTTATCATTAATTTTATAAGAATAAAAAAATTAAAATTTCATGCATGTTTTTTTAAGTACTGTACAGCATATGGGGGTACCCTTGATTTTCCATTGCCACAGTTATTGGGTTAAAGTATCACACGTGCATTATTTCTCCAACCTCTGTCCCCCATCCTTCAACCTCAAGTCAGTCTTGCTTCATCTCCAAAAATGGACTATCACACATGCACCTTGCCAAAGTCCATCTCCAACCACAAATTATAAAAAAAAAAATGGAGAAACTCTTACAGTAGTGGGATGGGTATATTCCTACCTTTTGGAGTATTCCCTTATTTTATCAATAAAAGAAGTGTATGCATATTTATTCCATAAGATATGCTGCTGCAGCACATTGGTTGTCATTCTGGTGAAGCGATGTGCCATGCAGTAGGAGAGGTTTGTTTTGATATGTAAGTAATGAGGAATCAAATGACAGTTTATTAATCTTCAGGTAAATACAGTAGTAATTAAACCCTTAATATTCACCATAGTCCTTATTACTTACCATTTATACCAGGTTAAAGACAAGAGTTGTAAAATATCATAGAGATTCATATGATGCTAGGCATGCGTCAAGTTTAGCCGGAAGAAATCCAATTGTAAAGTATGGGAGATCTCCAACCCTCAGAAAATGAGTGGAAGAGTGGCAAAAATGTGCTAGAGGTTGAAGGAAAAAATCACAAGTGCGATAGGCCCCTAAAACATTTTGACTTAACATAAAAATATTCCTGTCATTTTAATTTCTTAAAATGAATTTGTTTCGGCACTTTCTTTTGGTAAAGTACATGCTACTTTGAAACCTACTTTAGCAAGTTGGAGGAGGATAACCCTCCCTTGAGCAGACATGGGGGGTGATTTATATTGGTAAAGTAATCCATTATGGTTAAATCACACTTACAGTATAATTACAGTTACAAAAAAATTCAATTGATTACAAATCTGATTACTTTTAGAAAAGCATCCATAGTACTCCAACACACACTGTACTTCAACAGACACAGTACTCCAACAGACACAATGCAGGCAGTCCCCAACTTCCAACAGAGATACGTTTCTGTACCCTGATCATAAGTCGATTAGTTCGTAAGTCAGAACAGTGTTAATTCCATAGGTTAGGTTAAAGCACAACCCTGCCCATACAAAACAGCACTAATATCTCATACATAACATATACAGTGTAATGTAATTCCTGTAAGTGAAGTGATGTTAAACAATATAGAATAATGTAAAATATGGGATTTTAATTACACATAGTGTATTTGCGATGAATTTATTGCGATCCCGTTCGTAAAAGCAGGTGATCATAAGTCGGACAGTTGTAACTCGGGGACTGGCAGTATTCCAACGCACGATACTCGAACACACACAATACTCCAACACACAGTATTCCATCACATCACACATGGTACACTACCATGAACTTCGGCCAACTTTTAGGCAATCTACTGTTCGAAAAGTTGAGAACACCAATAAACTGATAAATGAAGAATTAGCAGTCATATTAAATGACATATTTTTGAGAGATTGCCTAAAAGTTGGCTGAAGCTCATAGTAGAGTAAAAAGCAAACTCTGGAATTTTTAGTACAATAATTGTATATCCATGCTCAGGCAGTAGGTTGCCTCAGAGGCTACAGCAGTCTGTCAGATAGTTAACCTCTGAGGAAGGGGGTTGGGTGGTAGTAAAGGGTTAAAGGAGTTAGTTATGTATTGTTACGAGACAAATTGAATTGGTAGCACCCTATATTTCATGGTTAATTTGGTTCACAACTGTCACTGACTTTTGTGGAACTGACTCTGCAAGGCCATCTTGTTTGGATATGGGACGAGTGTCTTCCTGGGTAGGCAGGTAGTCTTTGATTACCTGCTTTACCACCAACTGTTCCCACCCTGTGGGCTGGCATTAGGAAGAACATCCAGCTGTAAAACTTAGCCTGAGGGCAACCTGGTCATAAGAGCTGTGCCCATCCCATTGTCTCTGCTGTATTTTCTGGGCTGTTATCCTGGATTTGTAGTGGTGAGCAGGGTGGGGCTAATCCACACAAGTGTGGAAAATGGCCATAAAATGTTGTTGTTGATGATATCTTACAGAGTAGGAAAATGCTCTGAAAACCAGACAACTCCAGAAATTTGCATATGCAAAGGGATTTTTAAGTTATGTACTGTGCCTGGTTCTTTTTTTATTAAGAAAGCAAATTTCTCATTCAATCGGGTTTCTGGTGTACTGTACAGTACTTAGAGG